AATGCCCCCCCCCTCCCTGCAGCTGTCCTCCCCTGCGGAGGTGCCCCCCCCCTGGAAGCACTCCGTCCTGCAGGCTGAGAGCAGCTTCACCTCCGTCAGCACCTCCTCCTCCTCCTCCCACATGATGATGGAGCAGAGCAGCTCCTCCACGATGATGGGGCAGAGCGGCTCCTCCACGATGATGGGGCAGAGCGGCTCCTCCACGATGATGGGGCAGAGCGGCTCCTCCACGATGATGGGGCAGAGCGGCTCCTCCATGATGATGGAGCAGAGCAGAGAGGTTTGGATTCATTTCGTCACTAATTCAACAATTATGCACAATCTTTATAGATTTTTGTCCGTATATTTATTTTTATGAATTGATGAAATTATTTTCCCCAATTTCTTTTTGCAACTACTTGAAGGGACAATCACTTCAAACAATATTACATATATTTAAAAACATGTATTAATACATTTAAATAAATAAATGGAATAAATGCATATTATTCATATTTTTGTATTTCTTATTATTTTCCTTTTTTTATTTGAGAAATGTATCCATTTATACATTTAAAAAAATCAAAATCAAATGAAAAATAATTTATTTTAAAGCTGCACGATGCATGGACCTGTTTCTTCTTCTGTGGTATTTTTAAAGTGTGTTTTCAGCTGCTCTGGAGGTCCTGTTTCTTCTTCTGTGGTGTTTTTAAAGCCTGTTTTCAGCTGCTCTGGAGGTCCTGTTTCTTCTTCTGTGGTGTATTTAAAGCCTGTTTTCAGCTGCTCTGGAGGTCCTGTTTCTTCTTCTGTGGTGTATTTAAAGCCTGTTTTCAGCTGCTCTGGAGGTCCTAAGCTGTGTGTTTTGTCTCTAGGCTGAAGGGGGGGGTAAAGCAACGGCGGTGGCCACGGTTGTCGCCGCTGTCGACCTTGCTCGCGTCCGTCAGCCCGTCAGTGGAGCTGCAGAAGAAGAGGTAGAGGTGGAGATAAAACAACAACAACAAAAACAACAGGAAGTGGAGACAACAACGAAGGAGAAACAGGAAGTTGTTGTGAAAAGTCTTTCTACTGAAGCTACGGAGACAAAAGTCAGAGCAGTTTCTCAGATCCAGATCTCTGAAGAATTGTCTCAGATCCACAATCCCGTCTCAGATCCCGTCTAAGATCAACATCCCGTCTCAGATCCACATCCCGTCTCAGATCCCGTCTAAGATCCACATCCCGTCTCAGATCCAGATCCCATCTCAGATCCAAACCCCGTCTCAGATCCCGTCTCAGATCCACATCCCGTCTCAGATCCAAATCCCGTCTCAGATCCCATCTCAGATCCAGATCCCGTCTCAGATCCCGTCTAAGATCCACATCCCGTCTCAGATCCACATCTCGTCTCAGATCCCGTCTCAGATCCCGTCTCAGATCCACATCCCGTCTCAGATCCACATCCCGTCTCAGATCCCGTCTCAGATCCACATCCCGTCTCAGATCCAAATCCCGTCTCAGATCCCGTCTCAGATCCAGATCTCTGCAGAACCGTCTCCGGTTCCTCACTTCACAGTTTCTAAAGTCTCTGTTCCTAAACCTGAAGCGAGCCTGGAGGTAAGAGGAGGCCTTCATCATCATCACCTCAAAACCCTCCATCGCACCTCTAACAGCGACACCTAAACAACGTGCAGCGTGTGATTCACTGTGACCTTCATAAACAAACAAACAAACAAACAAACATCACGTTTCATCACTGCCTTCCTCTATGGATCTCTACAAACACCTGGTTTATTTATATTTGAGTAGCAAACAACAATTATAAACAAATTATAAGAAGTATACAAACATATACTTGCCCTTATCCTGGCTTCACAAACAGCATGCTATACGATGCACAACAACAACAACACACGACCCTCACAAACACACTTTATCAATTAACCAATTACTAATATGCCAACATTTTAGGAGCAATTGAAAACAAAGACTAGCAAGTACATACAAAATAAACTCACCGTACCATTATCGTTTTCTCACCGTACCATTATCGTTTTCTCACCGTACCATTATCGTTCTCATGCCTCCCTCTCATTGGCTCGGCCAGGTCTCCATCGCGGGCTCGGCCATGGCGGCTCTCCACAGAGAGTTCTCCTCCCCCATCTCCCCCCTCTCCCCCCGAAGGATCATCAAACCAGTGAAGTCTCCCAGCCCGTCCCGCAGGAGGGGGGCGAGCGTGCCCCCCGAGCCCCTGCCGCCCCCCTTCAGAGACCCCAGATATCAGACGGGGGGCGCTAGTGAGGAGGAGTTTGAAGACTGGGAGCCACAGGTTGGTGGGATCCAATCACAGTCTTCAATTAACCCCCTGGGAGTTCAATCATCACCTCATTGAAAACCCTGCACTTCCTGTCCATCCACTTCCTGTCTTCACCTACACTTCCTGTCTTCACATCCACTTCCTGTCTTAACCTACACTTCCTGTCTTCATTGGCACTTACCACTTCCTGTCTCCATTGGCACTTTCCACTTCATTTCTTCATTAGGACTTAGCACTTCCTGTCTTCATCACCACTTCCTGTCTTTATTGGCACTTTCCACTTCCTGTCTCCATTGGCACTTTCCACTTCCTGTCTCCATTAGGACCTAGCACTTCCTGTCTTCATCACCACTTCCTGTCTTCACCTCCATCCCTCTGTCTCTGCAGAGTTGATCTGTTTTAACCACTTCTTTCCCCCCATCCTTATAGACCTCCATCTCCACAGACCTCCACCCTCTCACAGACCCCCCCCCCCTCCCCACCTGTAGTCTCCTGTGTGTAACTGTTGTTGTTGTTGTTCCTCAGGAGGCGGCTGCAGTTCCCTCCAGAGCCCAGGAGCCCGTCGTTCCTCCCACTATTATTGCTGTGAGTACAACATGCATTAAATCAGTCCACAGAGAGTACAGATATGGCCGGTTTCTGGTTCAAACTGCTCTTCATGTTCCAGGAAGTGTCAGAAATGGACTCGGCATCCTCAATAACCCTGCAGACAGACTGTATAACTCAGGGGGGAAATTATTGCAAGACTCGTTTTTTTTTTCAAAAGTCAACATTTGTAAAATAAAGTCAAATTTTGAAGGAAAAAAGTGAACGCTGCATCGTAGCGAGGTGTATGGCGCAGTGGGTTAGTGCGCTGATCTTAGAATCAGAGGATAGCAAGTTCGAGTCCCACTGCAGTCAGCATGTCGTTGTGTCCCTGAGACACTTCACCCCAAAGTGCTCCCGTGGGGATTGCCCACAGTACTGAATGTTTGCTTTGGATGAAAGCGTCTAACAAGTAACATGTAATGTACCGTAGTTTGGTGAGCATCCCTCGATACAGATGCTTGTTATTGATCGTGTGTATGCTGCAGTGCTTGTTATTGATCGTGTGTATGCTGCAGTGCTTGTTATTGATCGTGTGTATGCTGCAGTGCTTGTTATTGATCGGTATGTTTGTGTTCTGCAGGGTCTGAAGAACACGAACGTGACAGAGGGCGAGAGCGTGACCTTGGAGTGTCAGATCGGAGGTCAGCCCGCCCCCAGCATCATGTGGTTCAGAGAGGACTACAAGATCGAGAGCAGCATCGACTTCCAGCTCACCTTCAGCGCCGGCTTCGCCCGCATGGTGATCAGAGAGGCCTTCGCCGAGGACAGCGGGCGCTTCACCTGCACCGCCACCAGCGAGGCGGGCACCATCAGCACCTCCTGCTACCTGCTGGTCAAAGGTAATGGGATGAGGCTGGTTTTTCAACATAAAAGCATACAAAAGTTACTGAATTCTTACAGAAAGTTAAGATGAGGCTGGTTTTCAAAATAAAAGTCTCTTTATTCAAACTCGAAGCTTAGTATAAGGCTGGTTTTCAAAATAAAAGTCTCTTTATTCAAACTCGAAGCTTAGTATGAGGCTGGTTTTCAAAATAAAAGTCTCTTTATTCAAACTCGAAGCTTAGTATAAGGCTGGTTTTCAAAATAAAAGTCTCTTTATTCAAACTCGAAACTTAGTATGAGGCTGGTTTTCAAAATAAAAGTCTCTTTATTCGAACTCGAAGCTTAGTATGAGGCTGGTTTTCAAAATAAAAGTCTCTTTATTCAAACTCGAAGCTTAGTATAAGGCTGGTTTTCAAAATAAAAGTCTCTTTATTCAAACTCGAAGCTTAGTATAAGGCTGGTTTTCAAAATAAAAGTCTCTTTATTCTAACTCGAAGCCTAGGATGAGGCTGGTTTTCAAAATAAAAGTCTTTATTCTAACTCGAAGCCTAGGATGAGGCTGGTTTTCAAAATAAAAGTCTCTTTATTCGAACTCGAAGCTTAGTATGAGGCTGGTTTTCAAAATAAAAGTCTCTTTATTCTAACTCGAAGCCTAGGATGAGGCTGGTTTTCAAAATAAAAGTCTCTTTATTCTAACTCGAATTTAGGATGAGGCTGGTTTTCAAAAATAAAAGCATACAAAAGTCTCTTTATTCTTACTGGAAGCTTAGGATGAGGCTTGTTTTTCAAAATAAAAGCCTGAAAAGGTAACTGAATTCTTACAGAAAGCTTGTTCTTCAAAATAAAAGTGAATTAAAAAAAAAATATTTGTGCTAAACATAACATGCTGTTTCTGTTGCAGTGTCAGAGGAGATCGAGAGCAGAGAGGAAACGACGACTGTGACTGAAATGGGAATGACTCAGGAGAAAACGTGAGTTGTTAAAGAGGCTCCATTCTCCTCATGTGCAGGTTCATGTTAGTGAAAGCTAGATTATGAAAAAAGTCAAATTGTGAATCTTTCAAATTCTGTAAATATTTCCAATTTTGAGAAAAAAACTGAAATGTCGTCCCTCAGTGTGTCCATGGAGCAGAGCGTGGTGACGGAGGTGATGTCGGGCGAGGTCGCCCCTCCCTCCTTCATCAGGGAACCCAGCGCTCAGAAGCTGGTGGAAGGAGGAGCCGTGGTGTTCGAGTGTCAGGTGGCAGGAAGCCCCAGACCTCACATCATCTGGAAGAAGGGCGGCGTGCCCCTCACCACCGGATACAGGTAGACACATTTCTAATCCTGAACAATAAGTTATATCCTGAGGAGAAAGTGAAATTCTAAGAAAAATATTTCAAATGTTTCTTATTTCAATTTCTATATATTTAAAATGAAATGTACATTACCTTTAAATACACACATGTACCATCACATGTATACTCTCTGAGATAGCACTACATCTACTCTGTGCCTGTAATAGACAGATATAGCTACTGTTCACATTCAAAGTGAGTTTCTTCCTTTGTGCTGCCAATAGCTAGTGACTAAGAGCTCATGATGTTTCCTTCACATACAAAGTGAGTTTCTTCCTTTGTGCTGCCTATAGCTAGTGACTAAGAGCTCATGATGTTTCCTTCAGATACAAAGTGAGTTTCTTCCTTTGTGCTGCCTATAGCTAGTGACTAAGAGCTCATGATGTTTCCTTCAGATACAAAGTGAGTTTCTTCCTTTGTGCTGCCAATAGCTAGTGACTAAGAGCTCATGATGTTTCCTTCAGATACAAAGTGAGTTTCTTCCTTTGTGCTGCCAATAGCTAGTGACTAAGAGCTCATGATGTTTCCTTCAGATACAAAGTGGCCTACAGGAAGGACACAGGAGAGTGCAAGCTGGAGATCACCATGACCTTCGCTGACGACGCAGGAGACTACTCCGTCTTCCTGAAGAACCAACATGGAGAGACCTCTGCCACCGCCCGCCTGCTGGAGGAAGGTACGCCATCATCTCCCTCTTCCTCTCTCTCTCCCTCTCCCTCTCCCTCTCCCTCTTCTTCCTCTCTCTCTCCCTCTCCCTCTGTGTTTCCTCTCTTTGTTCTGCTCTGTCAGAGTAACGTTTTGTTCTCACGCTGTGTGTGTGTGTAGAGGAATATGAAGCCTACATGATGCAACAGGGCGTGACCTATCAAACTGAAGTGAGGGCGGCGGTGGTGCCGGAGGCGGCGGTCGTGGTGACAGCGTACGAGCTGGAGCAGCGGAGGGTCACCACGCCCATGAGCTTCGTCTCAGAAACGGTACGTTACCCTCTACGTGTCCATCGGGCAGGTCAAGACGGGTAACTGGAATACAACTCCACAAATATATCCCGGGAACAGCAGGGCTCCTCTAACGGTCGTTAAAGACTTAAAAGATTTCGACATATTAATAATGATAATAATAAATGGTAGCTCTTCTCATAGACTCAACGTCGCTTCACTATAAGGTGAGCTTTAGAATGGGGTGAGTGCAAAGAAAAGTACTTCTATATATTAACACATCTAAAACTGAGAGACACTAGTGTGTAAACAAACAATGAACACCAGTTTGTTTGTGTATTTAATAATAATGATTTTATTTGCCGAGCACAAACTACGAAGTATGAAAGACTTATTATTGTTTTGATCATTTATTTATGTGCATTTCATTTGAAAAGACTCCTCATAATACATAAGTCTCTGTTGATATTAAACCGCTGCCTCCTCCTCCTCAGGAGTTCCTGATCTCCTCCTTCGAGGAGCGGATCATCCAGGAGGTGGAGCTGCGTATCCTGAGGATCAGCTACACAGAGATGGTGACGGAGGACGGAGAGCTGATGGTGACGGTGGCCGAGCACGAAGCCGTGCAGCCCGCCTTCCAGACGCCCGTCAAAAACTACAGAATCATCGACGGCATGGGAGCCACCTTCCACTGCAAGATGAGCGGGACCCCCCTGCCAAAGGTGCGCTGCGGGACATACAGATTAAACTAACCAGGGTGGAATAATCAAATCCTTCAATTATGAAAGGACACTGACAGCTTCACATCTGACGTCAGTGTACCCACATTAAAGGTCCCCTATCACCCTCTTCTTCATCAATACATCTCAGATATACCCAGAGCCTCTCTCTGATTGGCTGAAACACCAAACAGATCATTGCAGCGTTACCCATAATCCCCTCTGTTTCAGCCCTGTTTCCAAAGTGCTGATTCTCTGTCTGTTACTTTAGATGAAAATAAGGAGCCCCTCCCCCACACGACCCTAAAAAGAGAACATTTGTTTAGCAAAAAAAGAACTCATCCTAGCGAGCGCGTTCACCGCCGAGTACTTAGGCACTCTTTACACAGAGGGCGAACACATTTCTCTCTCCAAGCAGATCAACACACGGAGGAGGTGAGGAAAGAGAGAGATATGTGTGCCCCTCTTTGTGTAATCAGAGTGCTAAGACCTCGGGCGTGAAGCGCGGGCCTAATGAAGTTCTTTGTAACCAATGTTCTCTCAAGACGGGGCGTGGGGAGGGGCCTCCTTATTTTCATATCTAGAAGTAACAGACAGAGAAATCAGCACTTTGGGAACAGGGCTGAAACCACGAGGGGAATTATGCGGTAAACGCTGGGCAATGGAATGCCTGTTTGTGTTTCAAGCCAATCAGAAGAGGAGGCTGCTGGGTATATCGGAGATGTATTGTGATGAAGAAGAGGGGTGATAGGGGAACCTTTAATGTGGGTACACGAGCGTCCAGATGTGACAGCTGTCTGTGTCCTTTCATGAATTGAAGGGATTGTGATTAATTCCACCCTGCGTTAAGTTTAATCTGTATGTCCGCGCAGGCGGCACCTTTGGGCAGGGGGGTCCCGCTCATCTTGCAAGTGGAAGGTGGCTCCCATGCCGTCGATGATCTGTAGTTTTTTGACGGGCCGTTCCGGAAGCGGGCCTGCAGCGGGCCTTCGTGCTCGCCACCGTCACCATCGAGCTCTTCCGTCCTGCCGTCACCATGCTCATAGGTGTAGGCCTGAATCCTCAGGATACGCAGCTCACCTCACCTGGATGATGCCGCTTCCTCGAGAGGAGGAGACTCAGGAACTCTGAGGAGGAAAGGAGGCAGCCGGTAATATCAAATATAAACCAGAGACTTTTCGTATTAGAAGGAAGTGCACATAAATAAATGATAAAAACAATAAATAAGTCTTTTCCATACTTCGTAGTGTTGTGCTCGTAAAATAAAATCATTATTATTAAATACACAAAACAAACTGGTGTTACATGTTTGCTTACACACATAAGTGTCTCTCAGTTTTAAGATGTGTTAATATATAGAAGGTCAGCTTTATGCTTTGCACCTCACCCAAATCTAGAAGGCGTCACCTATAGTGATAGCGAGCCGTTGAGTCTATGAGAAGAGCTACCATGGTTATATCTCCTCTCAAACCAACAACAACAAGCGGAGACTAGGCAGGAAAAGAGAAAGAGATATAAATGGTAGGGCGCCTCTTCTCATAGAGCTCAAGCGTCGCTTCACTATAAGCGTGGAGCTTTAGAATCGGGGTGAGTGCAAAAGAAAAGTACTGTCTATATACTTAAACACAGTCTACAAACTCGAGAGACAGCTAGTCGCTGTAAACAAACAATGAAACACCAGTTTGGTTTGTGTAGCTTAAAATAACTGAATTTTTATTTGTACCCGAGCCAACGGGAGAACTACGAAGTATGAAAAGACTTAGTTACTTGGTTTTGATCATTTATTTAATGTGCATTCCTCATAAATAACAAAAGTCTCTGTTATATGATATTAAACGCGGCTGGGCCTGCCTCCTCGCCCTCCAGCGAAGTTCCTGATCTCCTCCTTCCGAGGAGGCGATCATCCAGGAGGTGCGAGCTGCGTATCCTGAGGATCAGTCTACACAGAGAAATGGTGACCGGAGGACGGGAGAGCCTGATGGTGACGGTGGCCGAGCACGAAGCCGTGCAGCCCGCCTTCCAGACAGCCGTCCAAAAACCTACAGAATCCATGCGACGCATAGGAGGGCCACCATTTCCCCACTGCAAGATGAGCGGGACCCCCTGCAAAAGGTGCGCTGGCCGGGACCATGACCAGATTAAACCTTAACCAGGGCCGTGCGAATAATGGCAAATCCTTCAATTATGAAAGGACCACCAGAGCAGCTTCCAACATCTGAACGTCAGTGTATCCCCACATTAAAGAGGATTCCCCTATTCACCTCTTCTTCATCAAAACAGGTCCTAGATATAGCCCAGAAGGCTCACTCGTCTGATTGGCTGAAACACCAAACAGGATCATTGCACACGCGTTCACCGCATAATCCGCCATCCTGATTCTCAGCCCTGTTTTCCAAAGATGGCTGATTCTCTGTCTGTTACGTTTAGATGAAAATAAGGAGCCCCTCCCACCACGCCGCCACCTTCTGAAGAACTATTGGATTAACAAGAAAACTGCATTAGCCAGGCCGTTCACTGCCGAGTACGTTAGCAACTCTTACAACAGAGGGGTAACACATATTCTCCAAATCCTCAACAACAAACAACGGAGGAGGAAGGAAAAAGAGAGAGATATGTGTCCCCCCTGTTGTAAGAAGTGCTAAGTACTCGGGCGTGAAACCGCGGCTAAATGACCGTTCCTTTGTAACAGCCAAAATGTCTCCAGAGGGGCGTGGGGG